AGGGGGAGAGAGAGAGAGTGTGTGTGTGTGTGTGTGTGTGCCTCTACGAAGTATGTGATTTAGCTATGCTCCACTGACTTCGCGAATTTCCTGTCCATGGCCTTGAGGCTTGGGGGACATGCGGAGAATAGTAGGTTACTGAGTACACAGTAACAGTAGCCTGTTAGGACACTTTGTCTCGGTGGTAAAAAATAGTACATAGTACATGTAGCATGTTACGATACATCTCGGAGAGAAAAATAGGTACTGAGTGCATAGTACTTGAGCAAGGTATGATACCTTTCGGAGGAGATAGTAGGTACCTAGTACGTATACATGTAGCTAGTTATTGTACTTCTAGGAGGATATAATAGTACATGCAGTTAGTAAACCCCCGGAGAAGAATGTGTTACTGGCTGCAAAGTAATAGTAGCCAGCTAAGATTATACAGTCGATTACGGATGAGTTGATATCGGGGGAGTGAAAAATCTTTACCGTTGGGATCTGTAAAGATGATGAGGTGATGGGACCCGAGAAAAGCAGGAAGGTAACCGAAGATCAACTCAAGCGAGTTCAATACAAGCGGAGTCGACTGTATCTTGTCTCTTGCTAGACGCTGAGATACGCAGGGTCTAACTAACACATTTTCACATCATCATCATCATCATCATCATCATCATCATTGTGTCATGTGCGCACGCGGGCGTGCACGTGTGTCGGTCTGCTTGTTTGTCTGTCTCTCTGTCTGTCTGTGGTGAAACACCAACCCAATGTGCCAGGATCTGGATGATACAGATTGTATCATCTTATCATATTATTTTTCATCCTCTTTTTAATCTTAAACACTTAGGCCAACTTAGTTTTACGTTACCATTATTGGGATTTATGATTTTGACCACATCGTTTACAGTGGAAGATAATAGGCCCAGACTGTTTCTCCTGACGTCAGCACAAAAGCTTCCACAATACATATATTATTGTTGTTCAAGTTCAATTGCGTTGATCTGTACAATTTCAGATGCGCACTTTCTCAGATGACAGCCTAGATCCGGCGTCCAAAATTAGTCCGCGGGTTACGAGTTTGAGACTGTCGGTTATAAATCAAGACATTCAAAAACAAATTGTACAGCAACGTGGCCAATCAGGCGCTCATCAATATTATTATAGTGATAATAATTAAATAGAAGAAACCGGCATTTTGCAGACCTGAAAAGGTTGGGATTTTTTCAAATGGTGTTTGGCTCAATTACATCTTTTATGTCCGATTGCAAACACCTTTCAGTGTGGATCTTACTGATGGACGCTGACCAAAGGCACAGTTACGTGAATTTGCAGTTTCCAAGGACTCTCCATCTTTGGAAGTCGCCAGACTGAGACTCTAAAGGTCATTTTCTCGCTAATTTTACCTAACATTTATTAGGCTACACCCACCATCCTAGGTTGCAAATATCACTACTTCTATTCACGATAGATGGATATTTTTAAAAAATATCAAATGCAAGAAAAATGAAAATGTCGTAAGTTGATTCAAGTTTTAATAACTCCTTAATAATATGTTGTAGAAACTGACGAGCGCCTGATTCCACCGCGTTGTGACACTCCACTCTCGGTATCCGCGGTAGCCTACATTTAGGCTGGGCTATAAGACGACAACTCAAATGACCAAACTGGAACCAAATTTGTATAAATGATTTGGGAGAGTTCTGAATCACCCGTCTTCTGTTATAAAATGTGTGTGTGTGTGTGTGTGTGTGTGTGTGTGTGCGCGTGCTCGCGCGCGTGTGTGTGTGTTGTGTGTGTATATGTGTGTGTGTGCACATGTATGTGTGTTTGAGTATTCGTACATGAGTACGTTGGAGTCAGTTGAGACAGTAGATCAGTCTCTAAAGAGATAGGTGCATGTCTGCTTGCTTTTTCAGTGTCAGAGAGAGGTTGATTTGTACATGGCATTAGTCATCGAAAAGATAGCCATGGTATTACACAGGCTGGTAAGATACAAGTAGTAGGTCTATAGGTTATCTTTATCCTATCTTAACGACAGAACAAATGTTGGGGTCTCTCGTGGTCTAGACTAGACGTTAAGGTGTTCGCCGCTCATTCAATAGGTCCTGGGCTCGAATCTGGAAGGCGACGGAAAATTTCCTTCGCTAAAAATTGTCTCCTTTCACCTCCTTTCGTGCTCTCTAACAATGTTCTGTCGTCTGCATTTGTCACCACTTTCTACACCCACCCCCTCACCTTCTTTGTCCCTTCTGTGGGCTCATGACTCTTTCTGCAGCCTACCTGCTGCTACACCTTGGTTCCTCCTTACTGTTGTCTTTCAACGACACCGCACCGATACCTACTCTTATCGATTTTGGACCACCAAGGGATCTTTAATGTGCGCAATTTGCACAGGGGACCTCCGAGAATTTTAGTCCTTGTCCGAGAAGGCTAGGTGTAGATCTGTCCTACCAGAAGATCAGGGGTGTGGCTAAAAGACATCAGTAAGAAGGAGCCAAGGAGTAACAGTAGAAAGACTGCAGAAAGAGTCAGGATCCCAGAGGAGGGGGCAAAGGAGGTGAGGGGGTGGGGGCAGAACGTGGAAACGAAAGCAGACGACATAACATAATTAAGCTAGAACAAGAGAGCAGAAAAGGAAGTGAAAGGAGAACATTTAAAGAAAAGTAAATATCCATTGCTACCCGGATTCGAACCCGGGACCTATTGAATGAGAAGCGAACACCTTAACCTCTAGGCCACGAGAG